TGTTGCAAGTTTATGAAGGGGGAAAAAAATACTAGAGGTGTTCTCTGAAAATAGGCATCTTTCTTTTTTCCTTCCTTAGTGAAATTGTTATTAAGCACCCCATCAAACACTTGAGGCACTCTATGTTATAAATCAGGAAACTGACATCAGTACAAATTAACTCATTGAATGAGACACCAGAAGCCTCTCTGAGGGTCCCAGCATCTATTACAGAGACTAAGAATGAGGGCTCTGGGGTTCAAGAGCCACCTCCAAATCCTGGTGCTGCCATTAACTAGTTGTGTGACCTTAGAAAAAGTTATCTTTATCTTAGTTTGCTCATCTTCGAAATGGGGATAATGAACCCTTCATATGTCTACTGACAGGTGAACATACTATGGTATGTCCATACAATGGAATACTACTCAGCAATAAAAACAAACAGGCTAACAATATACAATAATGAGGATGAATTTCAGAGTCATTATGCTAAGTAAAAAAAGCCAGGCACAGATACATGTATACTTATGCTTTCACTTACATAAAATTACAGAAAATGAAAACATTCTGATAAAAAAACACATCAGTAGTGGTCTGAGACCAGGGGCAGAAGAGGGATGGACAGGGGCATGAGGAAATTTTGTCTTATAGCGGGAGGGTGATGGGAATGTTCTCTATGTTGATGACTGTGGTGGCTACACAGGACATGTATATCGTCAAAACTCAAATTATGTACTTTGAATGGATACAGTTTACTATATATAAATAAGATCAACAAAGATGATTTAAAAAAATTTCTCATGGATTTGTTTTGAGAATGAAACAAGAGAAAACGTAAAATGCTAGGCCTGGCAGTTGGCACATAAGTGCTTGGTAATACCTGACGATGATAATGCTGGTGGACACTGAGGTCCACCAGCAAGTGTTCTCTTGGGTGTCAGAAGACCGTCAGAGTCTCTCTGAGTCCCACTATATTGTATAATAATCTGTAAGCCTCTATTTCTTAACATGTTTCCACATGGCAGGTTTGGTCAAGAGGGCCTACAGAGTCCCTTGCAGCTCAACAATTTGCTTTTACAGTGATATCTCTCATGGCAGCCCACACAACTTCTAATAGCATGCATTTATCACGTGGGCAAAYGGCAGCATTCAGAAAGTTTTGCTTTGACATTTYAAGGTCACTCCTTGAAATGTACCATTTTCTATGATGATAAAGGTGGAGAAAGTAGGATTTCCAAAGTCCTCTCCAAGGAGTTGGAAAGACAGAGTATGGGAAAGCTGACTAGCCCTCCAACAGGACAGTGAATTTAATTGTTTTCATTTGGAAGTTTTGGCTGAAGAACTCTTAAAATCTTTCTCCTGAAATGTAATGTTTTCTTCCCTACATCACAAGTCTCTCAGTGTTTTGACAAATACACAAGCAACTGAGGACTGAAGCTATCCCAAGAAGACCCACTGCAGGCAACAGCCGACTCGCAGTATGCTCACTCCTATGCACCATCCCAGACTGGCCCGATCCTCATGCTATGAACTATCGGCCTTCATCACCACCTCCCTCTCCCTCGTTCAAATCTGAGACTCTAGAACCATTATTCTAGCATTATAAATTTTCTCACATGCTGCTCCTTAATCTCCTAACACTTTTATTTTGGGGGTGGGGATTTTGAACTCAGAGGCATTTGACCACTAAGCCATGTCCCCAGCCCAATTTTGTATTTTATTCAGAGACCAGGGTCTCACTGAGCTGCTTAGCACCTTGCTTTTGCTGAGGTTGGCTTTGAACTCATGATCCTCCGGCCTCAATCTCCCGAGCTGCTGGGATTATAGGCATGCGCCACCACGCTCGGCTGGATAACACTTTTATTAACATCTAGAGGAGGCCCTGTTTCCTTGAGTCCTTGGCACATCCTCCCAGTCACTTCACTGTCCTGTGCAATTCATGGCTGAAGCAGCTGACAATCTGTGAGGATAGATCAAAAGCAGGGCCAGCAACTACCAATCACCGAGCTGCCAGTTCAGTGCTGGCAGGACATCCCAGGTACAGGTCTGGGAAAACAGACTTTGAGAACAGAAATGCAGGTGTCTTAGTTACCAGGGTCACTGGGAATTATTAGGGATAAAGTCTGGCAGCTGAAAGGAGATTAGTAGCTAAAGCTAAAGGAAGAAGATCTGGCAAAAAGGAACGAGCTTGTCAACAGGAGATACTGGAAAGCAAAGAAAACCACAGAGGAAAGACGAGAGCATRCTCAGGAGCTCTCACTGCTCCACAGGTAGGCTGCCCGTCTCACCTCTAGTGCTGACTCTTCTGCCTTGGAACCCCTTTGGGATGAGATGAAGTAGAAGTACTTTTTCACATGACCCCTATACTCTCCAGGGCTCAGTCCTAATGTTCAGGGGGACCACAGCAAGCAGGTTGCAATTGTTAGTGTGCCAAATACTCACCTGGGCAGCTTAGCTAACTTAATTCCGTTCTCTGGCCCCAGTTACAGTTTGACTTGAACATGGCCGGGGAAGAGAAGACTGGGAAGCTGTGCAGAGGAAAAGCTTCAGGATCCGGACTGTCTGTATGTAAGCCATGCCTATGTAAGGTGAAAGCCCACAGGCTGGGCAAAGAATTAGCACCAGGAAAATGTGAGCTGAACAATCCCCAGAGCTCATATGGAACTGCAAGAGGCTCAGCTCCATCCAGCCAGAGGGGAGAGACCTTGGTGAAGAACCAGGCACTCAGCAGAGACCCCTTAGTGCCTCAGTGTTTAGGGCTAACTCCAGACCTGCCCTATCAGGCTCCAAGACAATTCTCAAAATGAAGAGATACATTAACTGCCTACCAAAATAAATAGGTCAGTCATTCAAGAAAGATGCAGAATCCAGTCATTCAACACATGAACATTCACAATGTCCAGCATCCAGTCAAAAACTACTAATTGTGTGAAGAAGCAGAAAAATATGACTTCTAATCATATTAATAGAAACAGGCTCAGAAAAGATAGAGATAATAGAATTAGCAGCAAAAGGACGTGAAAACAGCTACTATAACGCCTATCATCAAGAATAAAGAAAACTAGCCAAGAGGGTGGCTCAGGCCTGTAATCCCAACTACTCAGAAAGCTACGGCAGGAGGATCCCAAGTTCAAGGCCAGGCTGAACAACTTAATGAGACCCTATTTCAAAATAAAAATAAAAAGGGCTGGGGATGTACCTTAGTGGTAGAGTAGTTACCACCAGTAACCACTCCTCAAAAGGAATAAATGAAGTCTCTAGAGCTATAACACATTCACTGAATGGGCTATTTTTTTTTTTCCGGTGCTTGGGGATTTGAACTCAGGGCCTCATGCATGCCAGGCAAGCACTTTACCACTGAGCCACATCCCCAGTCCCTGAATGAGCTATTTTAATAGTTGATTGGACATTAAAAAAAAAAATCACAAAAAAGAAAAGAGCAGTTACACAGCAAGACAACCATCCAAACAGAAGAAAAGGGAAAAGCAGACTGAAGAACAAACAAATAACAGAAAAACCACTGCCTTGATGACAACAGTGTGGACAAACACAACTAGAGTCCCAGAAGGAGTGGAGGAAAAACATATATAAAGAAATACTGGTGGGGCTGGGGCTGGGGCTCAGTGATGGAGCGCTTGCCTAGCATGTGTGAGGCACTGCGTTCGATTCTCAGCACCACTTATAAATACGTAAATAAAGGTCCTTCAACAATTAATAAAACTATTTTAAAAAAGAAAGAAAGACTGGCTAAAACTGTTTTCTGAATTTAATGAAGATTATAAATCCACAGACTCCAGAAGTTCAAAGAGAATAGACACATACACAAAAGAACTACATTGCACAGAGGGGAACAAAGACAAGAACGACTACTGACGTCGMACCAGAAAGAATGTGGGACAAAAGACGATGAAGTAACTAAAGTGCGAAAAGAAAAAAAGAATCATTAGCCTAGAGTTCTGTGTCTGGTGAAAAGTGAAGACACTTTCAGGCAGGGAGACAGGGCTGCTCCGCCAAAAAGTATCAAGTTCTAAAGGAAACGGATGCCAGGGAGGAACCAGGATCTCCATAAAGGAGTGAGAAGTATGAAAACGGTAAATAAGTAAGGTTTTTTTTGGTAGTCCTGGGACTCAAACCCAGGGCCTTGTGCATGCAAGGCAAGCACTCTACCAACTGAGCTATAGCCCCAACCCAATATGCAGGTGTTTAAAAAAGCTTTAGTAATTTTAGGTTCCAAACATAAGCTCCCCTATAGTAGGTTGCTTTTAGAGAGTCACACAGGCTACATCTCTTCCCTTGAGTCCTGAACACAAGCTGATGCAGTGCCACAACTGCTGGCCTTTCTAGTCCTTATTTGTCCTTCATTTCCACAGTCAGTATTAACCGACTACTATGTGTCAGTACTGCAGATGCCAAGTGAATAAGTCAGAGTGTCTGCCATCAAGGAGCTTAGTGCCTGGGGCAGATGATGGGGAGGGGGCAACCAAGTCAATCAAKAGTCAGAGTGGGACCTCCTAAGTGTACTCAAATCCTAGCAGAGCTGTGACCTCAGGCACTCTCTTGGTGCTCAGTTCCTATGACTATGAGATGGGGATGACAATGGTACTCTCCATCTGAAGACTTGTGGTGAGGTTCAATGTTGTAACCTACAAACTGTCAGAACTGGCAGTGCTGGTGCCTGGTGCACACTGAGCAYCCAGGAAGGTCTAGCTCTTGTCGTTACGGTGGAGGTTTGCCAAGGAGGCTGTGGGGGCACAGAGGACATCTGAGAGAGAGGACAGGATGGAAAGGGAAGACAGTCCAGAGGAGGCGACACTTGGCTAGGTTTTCAAGGACGAGCAAGGTCAGTGGATACAATGGGGGTAAGGTACTCTGAGCAGAGGCAAGATCATTAGCAAGGCATGGCGAAGGGACTCTGTGTGTGAGGAGCCCACTGCACACGAGTTCAGCAAGGCTGCAGTCCAAGAAATGCCCAGGRCTCTGCGCCCTCTCTACATGCCTGACTTCCTGCAAGGTCATCTTACCTCCTCCGTCATCCATTCCATCCAGGCTGTGCCGTCTGAGGCGGTGGCTGCCCCCAAAAAAGAAGAAAAAGAGAGAAGATGATGAGTTTTAAACCCCAAAAGGAACTACCCATTTTTTATTGCAGCCACTGTTTCTCTTAGGTGGCGATGTCCCTGCGCCAGCTTTCATCCCCCATGGTGGTCAGACCTAACCGGGCAACTGGCTCTGCCATGTATGGTTCCACGGCCTGCCCGATGCTCCACTCTGAAGGCCGTCCTCACGCACCATGACATGAATGCTCCCCTGCCCCTGGAGGTGTGACATTGGTGGCCTTGCTTTCACAGTCACATTTATCTAGAAACTTCTTTTTCTTTTTGAGGTAAGTCTGAGGAGCAGGTAAGGCTTAGCAAGCTGGCATTGCTTCTGSCTGTTTCTGTCAAGCTTAGGTCAGCATCCTGAGACAGGCACATAGCAATTCTGAGACCACTCGGTGGGAGAGATGATGTGGGCACCGATGCCAGAGCCCAGACCATCAGCCAGGGAGGCAGCACTGTCCAAGCCCTTGACCCAGTATGCACGAGACCAGCCCTGGTCCACAGCCAGATTTGTGCTATCTTATTTCTAAACGCTGTGTTCACCACAGGCTGAAGATATAATGACCACCAGGGCTGTGCTGTTGACAAAGGTCACCAGAGGATGCCATAGGAAAACTGGACACATACTCTTCTATCTCTTCTGAAGCCTTCCTCCCAAACCTGCAAAAGAGAAGATGAAGTTTCTGAGAACACACGAGTCTCACATTTGGGGTAATGTTCTGGGAAAGGGTTTCAAAGGTGGGGACAAATTAGTATATCACAGTGCTTTAATTATCTGATTCCTTTTTTTTTTTTTTTTTTTTTTTGCCTTATGCTGGGGATTGGACCCAGGGATACTCTACCACTGGGCCACACTCACAGCCCTTCTTATTTTGAGACAGGGTCTCTCTGAATTGCTGAGGTTGGCCTTGAACTTGTGATCCTCCCTCCTTGGCCTCCTGAGTAGCTGGGATTCCACGTGTGTGCCACCATGCCCAGTTATCGGATTCCTCTTTCTAGACCAGCCCCATTATCAGCACAAGCAAACCACAGATGCTACAGCGCCTTGTTACTGCTTTATTCCAGCATAACTACAAGTGAAACTGTCATGATTAAGAGCAGGTTCAACAAGGACCTTAAAACCCAAATGGACACAAATGATATGGCACCCTCCTTTCAATAGTAACTGTCCCATTGAAAATCAAAGTGTTTTCTTAGACTGAGGCTCTGAGTCTTATTTGGAGGTGGTAATTGTCAGCATGTCGAGCTTCTTGGGGGTAGAAGTTTAGCCTGTAGGCTTGGCCACTGGTTATCTCTGTCCTCCACCCAAGGAGTGCCCCCATGACATTCCAYGAGGAACAGGCTGCATGGTTGACACATACCCACTGGCACAGGAAACATCTGGGGAAACTGTTAGACATGACTGCTTTTCCAGCAGTGGGAAGTCCCTGAATCAGCTGGTTTGGAAAGGAAGAGCCTAGGACTATGCATTTTTTTAAAAAAAGTTCAGGTAATTCTAATCTAAGGAGGTACACTGTGCAAAACCCCAACCTAAAGTCCTCTAACTGTGGCTAGCAAATTACTGATGATGATAAAGCCGGGTGCTGTGGGCATGGTGATCACATTTTTAGTCTAAAAATTCCTACAATAAGAGTTGTGTGTTGTTTAAATGAATTTTTGGGTCAGAAATCTAGCGTGGCAAGCCAGGATTCAAAGAGGTGGTGGCCATGTCCCTAGAGCCCAGAGGCAGGATGCATGAGAAAGCCCTTGACAGGGTGGGACCACGGACCTCACCAGGAAGAGCTGTCCTGAAGCCAACCACCAATTCCTGCAAGGTGTAAACGATTCTCCCTGAGAGTCTAGCCATAATTTCATTTTTATTAAAAAAAAAAGCCAAAAATAAAATATATGCTAAGCCTGAGTTTAAAATAGASTAACTTCCATGAAATACAGACTACATCAACTGGACTATTTAGGAAAAAAAAAAAAAAAAAGGATGGTTGACACCAGGAGGGAGGAAAGAGTTGGAGGTTGCAAAGAGACCTCCCAGGCTGCAGCTTTCGCCTCTGGAGGGCAGAAGAGGGGCCCAGTGGCTAGGGTAGAGGGAGGCGGAACAGAGAGGGCAGCGGCGAGCAGCCAAGGCAGGCTGTACCAGAGGCCCTGGGCATCGCCCCTATTGCTGGGTGACATGGGATATTCTAAGGCAGGATGCATGAATATGAGACACCATGCAGATTGTCGGTGTATTCACATTTTTCACAAAATGCCTGTTCTAGTCAGAGGACCATTGAGCCAATGCTCCGAGCCCCCACGGCCACCTTCTGTGTCCTGGGAAGAAGAAGTTATCCTAGTTCCTGTCATGCCCAGAACCACTGCCTCCAACCATCCACAAGTCAAACTCGCTAAGCCTACTGTACAAATGACCYGCTGTTCAAATGACTTGGCCAACATGTCACCAATGGTGGAAATGCCTGAATGAGGAGGGGTAAGAGAAAAACAGGTGACGGAGGCGAGGCAGATGAGACCCACCCTCACTTTGTACTTAAGGGACATACTCGGCTGTGACTGCCTTCAGGAGCSTGGCTGAATTGTTCCTTTCCTAAGCAATGTGCTTGGAAAAAGCAGTGGCGGTTTTGTCTGAAGGAAACAGTAATAATGACAGTGAGTCCTCGGGGGGAGTCTCACTAACTGCCACTTATCCACCCAACACCCAAGAAGGGGGGTGAGTTTAATATTCATCTTAATTGCCAGAGAGCCCACATCCTGTTTTCTCCCCCTCTAGAGGGAGCCCAAGGACCCTGCCCAGACAGGAAGGAGGGAGCTCAAAGGAGTCTTCAGGCAGCTGGGGTTGTGGCTCAGGGGTGGAGCGCTTGCCTAGCATGCGTGAGGATCCCCAGCACTGCATTAAAAAAAAAAAGGTATTATATCCATCTACAACTAAAAAAAATATTTTTTAAAAAAGGAGTTATCAGGAATGGGCAGCAGGGCATCTCTTAGGTGGCGTGCTCTCTCTCTGCCAGAGATAACAGGTTTGGGTACTTCCTCCTTGTGGACAGGGAGCCTGATGGGATGGAGCCCCCTGCCTCTGATCTTCATCACAGATGGAAACTGGCCACCTCTGGACTTTACCCAGAGTTTGGCTTGTTTATTGTTTTGTTTTGTTTTAACATAAATTTGTTGCCCAAATGGGGAGATTTTCTTTATGAAAGTCCAGATTTCTGCTAACGCTGGTCCCTACCTAGGGCGCCCTCCCACCAGGCCCAGGACTAGCTCCGCAGCACTGAGTCTTGCTGYTGGTTCTCTCACAAGAGGCAGTAGGTGGGGGGAGAGGTTCCTACARCTCCAGGGGATATCAAATGTGAGAAAAAGGAGGCTGAGGGGAAGCATGTTTGGGGAGAGTAGCTGGGAGAGTGTTTCTCTACAGAAACGTGAACACACAGACAATCTGCATGGTGTCTCAGAACAGAATCTGAAGTAAAACCTATTTCCGATTCACTTTATCTGTTCCCAGAGGCACCTGGGGTCAGCACAGTGACAGGCCCAGGAGACAGAGCATCTCAGCACAGGTTCCTAAAGACCTGTGAGATCAATTTAGTGGATGGCCACCAGCCTGCTTTGCTTTGCTTTCCTTCCTTCCTTTTTCTTTCCTTTTCTTCTTCTTCTTCCTTATACCACAGAAAAGAGTGTACTGCAAACAGGATAAGCTTTTTGTTTTTAGTTTTACTCACAACCTAACATAATGTAGGGTGTATTTTTAATTATTGGTGACAGGTTAAAAACAACAATTAATGGCCRGGCGCGTGGCTCAGGCCTGTAATCCCAGCAGCTCGGGAGACTGAGGCAGGAGGATCATGGGTTCAAAGCCAGCTTGGCCATGGGGAGGCGCCAAGCAACTCAGTGAGACCCCGTCTCTAAATAAAATATAAAACTGGGCTAGGGACATGGCTCAGTGGCAAGTGCCCCTGGGTTCAATCCCTGGTACACCAGCCCCCCTCCCCTCAAAAAAAACAAGCAAACAAACAAAAACCTAAACCAGCCTAAACCGGGGGGGGGGGGGGGGAGCCAGAGAGGGGTTTGGTGCTGATGTTCTGCTYCCCACAGGGACTGAGGTAGGAGAACTGTGGATTCTGGGTCACCTCCTCACAGATGTACTTCTTCCCCAACTTGAGGGAACTGATGCTGTCACTGAGGCCCGCGAGGCCTGGTGGCGGCAGGCAGTCTACGGAGTGCAGGCTTGGGCTTCCTGTCCATTACTGCCCCCAGGACCTCGTGCCTGGCTGCCTAGAAGTGGCTATTAATGCTAGTAAGACCACCCCACAGAGACGGAGCACTGCTCCAGACCCTTAGACTCCCACGTCTAGGACACCACAGTTGAGCTGTGGAACAGAAGTGCAGCAGGATTCAGCAGAACCCTTTACACCCAGGGACCCTGGGCGCCACGGAGGGGGGCTTCACCCAAATCACAGAGCTAGTTAGTGACGAGGCTGAAACCAGACTCCCGACTTTCACTCTAGGTCCCAAACAYGTTGCCCCCAGCTTTTGCAAAAGTGGATCCCGCCTGATTTTCCAGTGTCCCGGGGCACCCAGACATCTGTCTGGATTGACTGCAGCCACTCCCTTCTTGACTCCCAGAAGGCCACAGAAGGCTGAGACAAYGGAAAGCTGGAGTCCTTTAAGCAGGTAGCTCTTAACCGAATCACACCTGGGGAGCTTCTTCAATGAACATGTGCTAACCACCCCCCCTTAGTAATTTCCAGAAAAAGGCCCCAGGCACGACTGTGAGACTCTCTGCCCTAACCTTATTTCAGACGTGAGGCTGAACGCTCCAGTTGCTAAGCAGCAATCGGAAACCTAGCTGCCCCCTCCTTCTGAGCCGCCTACTTTCTTTCCCCAGAAGTGTTAATGAACTTGGACATGGCCTGAAGGCTRAGGTGAGGAGGGAACAGCCAGAGCCCCCGAGTGGTCAGTGGAGGGAAGGAAGCCTCTGTTCCTGGATGCCGTCCTGACATGCACACAGGAGCCCACGGTGCTCAYACCAAAGCACAGGCGCTCTCCCCATGGCGACCAGGGCAATTCACACCTGATTAGAGATGCGCGTTCACTATGCAGAATGTGTGGCAGGAAGGCTGCTGAACCAGCACTTTGAAAAGTTAATTAAGTGCCAGGTTTCTTTTTAAGAGCTCCTCCATCACTTGCTGATGGCTGTGGCCATTTTGCAGAGTGAGGCCTCACCTCTGGACACCRGGGGTAAACCTCCTCCCTCACCTCCACCCACTAGTTGCCTTCCTCCTGSGAGGGAGGCACCCTCCTGGTCAGTGGCCTGGCAAAGGGAAGTCACGGCCACCTCTCTGTGTGGTCCTTTCCAAACGGCCAAAAACACTCAGCCACAAAGCCACCCCGTGCTTTAAGCATCGACTCCTGGAGCAGAGGTGCTTAAGGGTGAGGGGTGGTCCTTCTGTAGAGCCCTGTCCCTCAGCTCAGCACTCAGCCAGCCCCTTCCTTCTTTTCACCCCCATTTCTCTTTCTTTGGCTTGATGCAGTTACTCGCTCTTAATTTTTAGGAAAATCCACTCCCAGGCTGCAGCCAGCCTCCCCACAAACCTGCCAGAGAAGGAAGACGGTCAAGCACTGGGCTAAGTGATGTTAGTTATACGTTCCTGTGTTTGGCACAGCTTACGTCA